CAATTGTGTTTGTCCTGTCTCACTTCGGTCAATCACAATGGACCGTTTGGAAGTCAGAGGCATTCATTGTGAGTCTTCACCCCGAACACTTAATACATCTCTAGAGATTTGGATGTCCTTCTGTCCTCCTAATTGTTTCAGAGGAGGCTGTGTGCCTCCCTGTTTCCTAGGTGCAAAGCAAAACAATTTCAGCTCATTCCTCAGAGTTTCCTGTGAGAAGAGGTGAACTGAACAGCATTTTCCAGACATATCCCATGAGAGTATAGGCATATTCCTACAGTGACTAGTTAACCCAAATTGTTCAACCTGTAGTATTGCTAATACTAGAAACGAGAGCTCACATTTCCAGTTCAGCCATGTTTTACTGCCTGGAACAGGAGATAACATTATTCTGCCTGAGAGTTAAATAGAAGTATTACTATAAAAACTAGTTCTGAGTCTGTGGTTCTTTTGAGCCATATGCTAGCTCCTTTGAGGTTTGATAGTGAATTTCTGTTTTGAAGGAAGATCCAGGAATATGATTGCGTTCAAAGACAGAAGTGGGACAGATTATTATCAAGTCCACAAAAGTCCCTGTATTATCGTATCCCATTTCCACCTGCCAAGCCATCCCACCCATGGACTGCTGGTCAATAATACAATAATGCAGGTTAGGCCAGTAAGTAGCACAGTGGTTAAGGCGCTGAACTCCCACACGGCCAACTGCAGTTTGAGTTCTGAACTTGGTGGCTTGAAAACTGTGAGACCAGCAGATGACATAATGATTTCTTAGCTGGACTCCCACATAGTCAACCATGGTTCCAGTCCCAGATCTGGTGGCTTAAAACTCATGTCGAGCGCATGTGCATGTGTGCCCAAAATCTTGAGAGGAGAATGAAGAAGAAGGGATTGTGGCTGGCCATCTCCTCTGGGGGTGATTTCTTGCTTTCTGTCTCTCTCTCTCTGTGTCTCTCTTGGCTTTGATATTTTACTATAATTGTGTAAGATGTTAAGTTTGAAGCTTATAGGAGGAGGCACATTGGATCTACTTCTATATTTCCTTGCCACCTACTATGAATCCATACTATTTCCAAATAAAATGTTTAAAAAATTTAATAGTAATTACTAAATAAGATATAGAAATTCCTAACCAGAACAGTGGGAGGAAATGAGAATAAAGAAAACTCAACCAATTCTAACAGAATATAAGACAGGAGAATTTGGGAAGGAAAGACAAAGCAGAATAACTACAGGTAACTACAAACACAAAAAAAGACAGAAATAAATGAAAATATTGGCAACACAATGACTATAAAGGGACTAAATTTCTCATTTGATAGAAAGTCTAGGTTGATTTGTTTGGTGCAGTTACTTTCTGTGTAAAAAAGATCCAACTTAAATGCAGTGACACAGGGACCAGCAGATGTTATAATGGCTCCATCACTGGACTCCCATGTAGTAGACCACAGTTTGAGTCCCAGATCTGGTGACTTAAACTGACACTGGGCGTGTGTGCAGGCGTGTGTGCCCAAGATCCCTAGAGGAGAATGGAGGAGAAGGGATTGCAGCATGACCATCCCCCAGGGGGTGATTTCTCGCTTTCTGTCTCTCTCTGTCTTTCTGGCAAGTGCACGTACCCTATAGCAAAATCCTTTCCACCCCCCCAAAAAATGTAATGACACGAAATGTTGAAAGTAAAATGATAGGAGAAAAAAGCAGTTATATTAATATCAGATAAAATAAACTTTAAAACAAAATGTTATTGATATTAAAAGAGTCAATGTCTTTCAATAATTTTATAAAATACATAAAATATAAATGATTTTATGTTTTCATAATATAGGAATGATAGAAACTACTGACTACAGGTTTTTAAAATCTTGTAGAATTACAGATACAAATCTGCATCATTTTATTTCTTTTTTTTTTTTTCCAGAAAAAGACGACTTACAGATGGAGGTAGAACTACAGAGGATCTCCTATATTTTCTAATCATTGATGCCAATCATACTATTTCATTATTTTAACTTTTTAGACTCTCATTAATGGCTTAAAAGGGCTCACATTACAATATATGCTCCCCTACCATTTTCTCCATCAGTTTATGGGTTAGGTTACTACAAGAGTTACTCCTATTTCAGAATGGATTGAATACGAACTTTACTTTATAGTTCCTAAATTAGAATTAACTTTGAAGTGTGTTACTTCTTCATCCCCTAGAATCTACACGAACAAAAAAAAAAAATTGAGATTTAAAATCCATGTACACTTTCCACACAATTAAATAGTAGTTGTCAAAATCATGTGGGAGTTCAATTGCATAGCCTAAGAAACTACAAAAGGAAGACTGCCCTTTTTTAGTCCAACTCTGGTTCTAAGTATTATAAAATAATAGAGATAGGAACAACTATAAACTGTATCTAAGTGAGTCTGATAATTTTAAATTCCTGAGCAGAAACCAAGGGGCAAAGAAATACTTGAGTATGTATAATTTCTTTTTTTTTCTTTTCTTTTCTTTCTTTCTTTCTTTGTTTTTTTTTTGTTTTTTTGTTTTGTTTTGTTTTGTTTTTTGCCATAGGGAGTGTGCACTCGTCAGAAAGACAGAGACAGAGACACAGAAAGTGAGAAATCACCCCCCAGGAGGGTTGGCCATGCCACAATCCCTTCTCCTCCATTCTCCTCTTGGGATCTTGGACATGCACGCACACGCGCCCGGCCTGAGTTTAAGCCATCCAGATCAAGGACTTGAACCATGGTCAACTACATGGGAGTCCAGCAACATAGACATTACACTAACTGCTGGTCCCTGTATCATTTCTTTTCATAAAGAAGATGAAGATAGATATTACCTTCCTAGTTCAGTCTTTTCTAGCCTTCTAGACATATTTCTCCTTGGATATTTACAATGAATTTTTCTCATTTAATATTCATTCAAACACAAGTTCTGGTGGCAGGTCCAGTAACTACTGTGAATTCAAAGTAAGGATGAACAAAATTATATTTCAAGATATCTGCAACAATTGTAGTGTGATCTAAAATGAGTTGTGGTCCCTATTGGTGAAAAGCTACAAGTACCGCTGATACTAATGAGTTGTTGGAAAAGTCATGACACATTTTTGCATAGAGAAACATAGAAAAATATGTCATGACTTTTCTGATGACCTAATACTTTAATTTCTTGTCTACATTCATTATTGAAGTAAATGGTAAATTTTAGTCTGAGTAAGAGGTTAATCCAAGTAAAGACGTAGGGCTCTCTTTTTGGGGGATAATATTGAAATCCTCTGAACTCTATTTATAAACAACAAATTGAGAACACTTGCATCTGATATATGATTTCGCTCTATGTTCTTTTTGATATTCAGGCATCGGTTTTTGCTTGAATTATGGGGAAATCATTATGTACTAAATAGCAAGTCTCCATCATTTTGTAGTTGAAGAGCTCAGTTCATTTGTTCTTCTCAGTAGCTCTACTCTGTCCGCCATAGATTGCACTCTTCTGCCCTTATTCTCTCTAGGGCTACAGACCTAAGTCAATTTTCTCTCCCACAGGACAACTCTTCAGCTCTTGGAAGACAATAATTTTGCTCCCATGTTGTTTTCTCTCCATCTTACCTCTCCCTCTTTTTCTCTCTTCCTGTCTCTGTTTCTAAGAGTTACTCACATTTCCGCCTTTCTCTCTCACATACACATTTTTATTTATCTGTACAAATGAGGAAACTGAAGCTGAGAGGTTTGAGTTACCTCCTAATTGTCTGCCAGTAGTGGTGAATTGCAGGTCTGTTTGGCTTCAGTTTAGCCTCCTTCCAAGACCTTATGATGAGTTTTAAGTCTTTTCTTACCTGTCTCTTTGGCTAACTGAAGGTCATCAAGGGCAGGGGTTTTATCTGTTTTTTTTGTTTGTTTGTTTTTTGCATCCCCAATAATGAAACTGAATAAAATTACTACCAAAAATTAGAGATCACATGTGTAGTCATATACTAAGACATCAGGAAAGAAAGGAATATTTATTGAACACCAGTTAATGTGTTTAATTTAATGTAAATAAACTAGTAAATATTTTAGACTATTAGAAATTATTTTAAATATTATTAACAATTATTGTAGTATGCTATTTAAGCAACAGATTAAATTCAACTAATCCAGTTGTATTTGGCACCAGTTTAAATAGAAAAGAATCATAAGATATTGCTTTATTATCCCATACAATACTATATGGAGTTAAAATATTTAAAATAGATTTATAAATGTATGATCTGAAAACTAAGAATATGATTATTTCATCCAAGAATATTTCAATAATGCTAAAAAATTATTGTAATAGGAACTCTCAATACAAAATTCTGTAATGATATTTGGCATTAAGGATTGAAAGTATTTATTAAAAGGCTATGATTGGGAGACCAGCAGTTGACATAATGGCTATGTCATTGGACTCCCATGTAATCGACTGTGGTTTGAGTCCCAGACCCGGTGGCTTAAACTCACACTGGGCACATATGTGTGCATGCCCAAGATCCCGAGCAGAGAATGGAGAAGGGACTGCGGCGTGGCCATCCTCCCTGGTAGGTGATTTCTCGCTTTTGTCTCTCTGTCTCTGTCTTTCTGGCAAGTGTTCGTGCCCTGTAGCAAAAACCTATCCAAAAAAAAAAGTTATGATTATGGGCCAGCAGGTGGCATAGTAGTTAAGACACTGGCCTACCGCCTGGTCCACTGTAGTTTGAGTCCCAGACCTGGCAGCTTGAAATACACTGTGTGTGTGTGTGTGTGTGTGTGCATGCCCAAAATCTCGAGAGAAGGGATTGTGGCATGGCCATCTCCCTGAGGGGTGATTTCTCACTTTCTTAAAAAATAATAATAAATTAAAAAAAAAAACCTACAAAAGTACAAAAGTAGCCCAATAAATCTGTATACCAACACAGAAGTGAAGCAATTATAGAACAAATAGCACAGCAAGAAGGTGGTTTTGATTTGCATTCTGCTACTGATTAGTGATGTTGAACATCTTCTTATGTGCTTAGTGTCCGTTTCTAAATCTCCTTTGGAGAAACATCCATTCAAGTTCTTTGCCGATTTTTTGGTTTGTTTGTATTTGCCAGAGGATGTATGCACTCACTAGACAGAGATAGAGAAAGAGAGAAAGAAAGAGAGAGAGAAAATAGAAAACACCCCCTACGGGGAATGGTTATGCAGCAATCCCTTTTCCATTTCTTCCTCCTTTTGGAATGTTGGGCAGGCACACACACACACACACACACACACACACAAACACACATCTAGCCTGTTTTTAAAGCTGCTGGTCCAAAACTCCAACTGCAGGCAGACATGTGGGATCCAGATGCCTTAATCACCACACCACCCATTGACACCCTTTGCCCATTTAAAAAATCTGGGTGTTTTTTGTCATGGAGTTGTAGTTCTGGATATCAATCCCTAAGCAGATGTATGATTTGTAGAGATTTCCTCCTATTCTGTGGGTTTCCTTTTTCTTCTGTTGATAATGTCCTTTGATACACAAAAATTTTTAATCATGATGAAGTTCATCTTATTTAATATTTTTCTTTGTGGCTGCGCTTTTGATATCATATCCAAAAAATCATAGCCAAATCCTGCTACTAATTTTTAAATTCCCAGCCTTCTGCCATTTTAAATGCTCAGGGAATGAGTTAAAGAAGTTTGAAATAAGGAACTGTATTCAGCAATTTACTTTTATAATTATGGAAGATTTTCTTTAGATATTTATCCATTCCATGCCAAATTTCTTCTGAATCTTTGTTTTCCTAATTACAGCTAAGTAGATTATATTGTAAATATAAGGCATGGAAATATCACATTGTATCATTATACAATTAGTCTCTCATGAGTAATAGTGTTCAGAATTATTGCCAAATGCCTTTATTAGAAAAAGAACATTTTTTTTTTTTGGAGAGGTTTATGCTATAGGGCACGTGTGCTCGCCAGACAGACAGAGACATAGAGACAGAAAACGAGAAATCACCCCCCAGGGGGATGGTCACGCCACAATCCCTTCTCCTCCATTCTCCTCTTGGGATCTTGGGCTCGCACACACATATGCCCAGCGTGAGTTTTAAGCCACCAGGTCCGGGACGTGAACCACGGTCGACTACATGGGAGTCCAGCGACATAGCCTTTACGCTAACTGCTGGTTCTGAAAAAGAAAATTCTTAACTGATTAAAGACCATGGGTATTATATATCAGCAATAAAATAAGTTTCAACTTTTCTGCTTCATTTTTTAAAAATACTGAATTTTACTTCAGCACATATTATAAAGCTCTAAAATTTCAAAGACATTTCACACTCTGAAAAAGGTTCCTTGTAGTTGTAATGTACATTTGAAATTCAAATAACTCCTTGGAATTTGAAGCTAACTAGAAAATATGTACTGTAGAATAAGAATGGGGAATATTTCTTATATCATTGCTAAAATATACTAATAGGAGACACTACAGCTTTGTATCTAGGCAAGAGTAACAAATGCATCTTTCAAAGTCTTCAAATAATACAAGAAGGGAATCCTAAAAAAATTCATTGAAAATGCATATTATGGAAAAACTGTGTATATATTTCAAAATTTTTTTGCACCAAAATAAACTTGTACTTTAATTCCATCTTTTCATAACTTTTGAAGTCCTTTCATACACATGAGCTATTTATGATAGACATCTTGGACAGTGTGTAAAACTTATTTTCTAACCTCCGTATTTCTTGCTTTAAAGCACTATGTACTTTTATGGGACCAGCAGTTAGCGTAATGGCTATGTCACTGGACTCCCACGTAGTCGACCACAGTTTGCATCCTGGACCTGCTGGCTTAAAAAACTGACGCAGGGCGCGTGTGCGTGCGTGCCCAAGATCCCGAGAGGAGAATGGAGAAGGGATTGCGGCGTGGCCATCCCCCCTGAGGGGTGATTTCTTGCTTTCTGTTTCTCTGTCTCTCTGTCTGGCAAACGCATGCCCTCTATGGCAAAAACCTCACCAAAAAAAAAAAAACGCATTATGTACTTTTTCAAGAATTTATGAAACCCTTAATTTTGTATAGTAGATGATATAGGTGATCTAATAGAAGCATTAGAATTGTTTCTCTCCCATCAGAGTATTTGCTTTCTATCTGTAGAGCCTAATGACCCAGATGACAATGTAAGAGAAGATATGAGGGACCCTTAGCCATTTAGAGTGTGAGAAAGTAAAGATGGGCTGAGAAGGTCTGGGGGTGGAGAGTGGACCTCTGCAGGCCAGGAGGGTGGAATGTGATCGGAGCAGCATGAGGGGAAGGAGCCACATCATTTAGGTGATTTCAGTGCCATGGGGAAGTGTCACATGAGTTTGAAAGATAAAGTGTGCCAGACAACGGACAGTTGGGTGGCAAGAGTGATTAACAGCTAGTGTAGCTGTTTCGTATCTGCTGTGTAGTCAGATGTAGAGAGACATGGGTTCTGGATCAGGGAAGTGGTGGGAAATTTAGCCTATCTCCAGTGGAGATCATGAAACTTTAGAAATAATAGGATTCGTGGAACCATCGTATCCAACATCCCATTTCTACTGGTCAAGGAGGTGAAATAATTTGTTTGAGGGGACCCAATTAGGAAATAGAAGGTCTATAGCTCAGATTTATTCTTTAACTCCAAGTCAGATCATCTTTCTTTCTGTACCACAGTCCTCCAGAATATGTTAAGAGAAAAGTAAACAGACAGAAAGATAAGGTTAGAAGCATCTTAGTGGGAAAAAATCAGAACCTGATGATTATTTTTGTGAATGAATTTTTTGAAAATTCAGTGAAGGAATGAGTTATTGCTGAAAAAATTGTATCTAATTAAAGTGAAACACTGATCCTAATTAATCCATATTTATATTTCCAAACCTACCTTGGCAAGTGGGTGCCAAGTAAAGCTGAATGAATGAACAAATGAATAAATGAATGTATTAACTAAAACTTGTCTTTTTTCCCCCAGTAATGTCATGCTATTTAAACTATCATTTCAAGAAAACATTTTCTTTTACAGATTCACCTTTTTGGAGTTTTGCTGGCCATTTTAGGAAACTTGGTAATCAGCATTTCCCTAAATATTCAGGTAAGAAAAAGCTAACTTTTCTAACTCTGAAGTTTCATCCACACTATGACTTTACGGGCCTTGGCACTTTGGCCCTTGTGGCTTGTTCCTCTTTAAAAAAAGTATTTCAAAATGTGTTTTAGAACCTTATTGGTATAAAGAAAAACAATTCAGGCTTATTGCACGCCCCCCTCTTCTAATCTTAAGAGAAACAACATTTTTTGTGGGCCCCAAATAGCACCATGGACCCTAGACAGAGTGCTTACTGTGTCCAATGAATAATTTGCCCTGGTCTGATTTACTTTGATTTCTTTCATAGCCTTCACTCCCAGATGAAATATGAATATGTTTTAGAAGCAGTTCATAGGAGTACAGAGTTATAGTTTTATTCTTTCTTTAAAATACTATTAAATATGTCAGTGTAGGTTAAAGGTCTTGAAGAAAGAATGTAAAGTATAAAATAGGAACTTTAAGTGAACCATGAACTAGAAACCTAAATGAAGTGCTGATTTGCTAATCTATAAACTGATGAATGAAATATTAACTTTAAAACAAATCAAAAATTTAAATCAGTTAATGAGTCAGTCTAAAATACAATCAAGACAATGCTGTTTATATAACTATTGAATCAAAATAAACTTGAACATCAGAATATTATTTTATAAAAACCTGGCTAGAAAATGCCATAACTTAATTTTAATAGTTATTTTATTGTATTTATTGAAATATATTTATTATTGAAAAAAATTGCCTTGGGAACCAGCAGTTAGAGTAATGGCTATGTCACTGGACTCCCACGTAGTCGACCGCAGTTCATGTCCCGGACCCGGTGGCTTAACACTCACGCCGGGCGCGTGTGCGTGCGTGCCCAAGATCCCGAGAGGAGAATGGAGGAGAAGGGATTGCGGCATGGTCATCCCTCTGGGGGGTGATTTCTTGCTTTCTGTCTCTCTGTCTCTCTCTGTCTTTCTGGCGAGTGCATGCGCCCTATAGCGAAAACCTCTCCAAAAAAATAAATAAATAAATTGCCTTTATAAAACAAATTCTAAGTATTCAAAAGAAAAATCTAACCCTTCTCTTATTGCTCATAAGTAATCACTGTTAACAGTGCATTTTTTTCCTCAAACCCATTTCTTTGCTTAAGTAGCACATACGTATATTTGGGTGTATGTTCCAAAATGCATGTAACCATCCCTTACTGCAGGATAGATGGGTTGTTTTTTACTTTTAAAAATAATAACAAAATAAGTATCTATTGGGTCATCTGAAAAGTCAATGATGCATTTTTGCTCAGAAAAATAAAAAATATGTCAAGACTTTTCTAATGACCCAATATCTATATATATATTTACGTAAAGCTAGATATATCTCTCATACTTGTGTGAGTATTCTATAGGTCAAAGGGTATACTCATTTTAAATATTGCTAGGTCCAGGCAAATCGATATATGTTTGTGGGTTGTAGCACATTGTACTCACACTAGCAGTGTTCAACCATGGCCATCCCCCGTATTCTCAATGCCATGTTGTTGGTTATTTGATGGG